GCGAGGCGGGGCGTTTGTAGCTTAGCGGTTAGAGCATTGGCCTCCGGTAAAGACCTTCTCTGATACGCGGGTAAAAATCTCGCCGAATGCCTCGAGTCTTTTCACAATTGGGTCAACTCAAATTAAGCAAATCTGCCAAACCTCCTAATAATAAAAGACCATTAACTTTACCTTAGCACTTAAAAACCATAAAAGAGTTTTAGACAGACAGACATTGCCGGCAAACAAAAAAGGAAACTGGAATTCCCATATCTGCTCCACTAGCAGTCATCAGCCAATCATATTTAAATCCAGATGGCGCACTACCCGCAGCAGAACGAGTGGAGTGAGTTCCGAACTAATCACACTTGGGTATAACTGGCTGACGACGGCTTATAAGCCAGAAGTGTTCATTTCAGCCGGCAATGTTCATCTGTCTCACTACTAGCTGCTGTTAGCAGGGCTGGAGAGTGAGCCCCAAGGCAGAAATGCAAATAGTTTAACCAATCAAGCATGCAAAATTGAATCTCACGGCGTGTAATTGATAAGTCGATAAAACTCGTTATGAACGTTCACCTGACCGCTAACGGTGCTCGCCTGTCCCGCTCTGCCTTGGGTATCGCCAGAGGCCCTGACAGCCGTAACAGCTGCTATTATAGGCAGACAATATTTGCGGCAAAGACAATGGTGACTGGAATGGCCATTTATGGCTTATAAGCCGTCGTCAGCTAGTCATACCCAGACCCAATTGGTGCCCCCATCGAGCCTCGAACTCAAACAATAAAACTCGTTGGCAGGACATTTTTGACCATCTAGCCTTTCAAATAATTTGGTTTGAAGGTTACGATACAGAAATGCGCACACATGCCATACAATCATTTCAGGATCTGCTTCAAATGTCGTCAATCGAGATCACAACCACGGTGTGGTAGTTGCTGTGTGCTAGCAAAAACATTCACTTCGCAGTGCTGATGACCGTTAATTCCTTCCGTATTTAAAAAGAGGACCCAAGGAGTAGGTTGTTTAATGACGACGGGGGGAGGATAATTTTTTCCCTAAATATCGTCTTGATCACGCATTAACCTACTCCCAGTCGTGGGGGGAAGGGAGGAGAAACATGTCGACTGATTGATTTAACGTGCCAACTGCCCGAAACGTCGAGACCGCAAATTAAGTCATCCAAACGGCACCTTTAGACGTCTGGATTTTACTCAAGGCCTCCGACGCACAGTTTTGTCAGTTCTCTGTCTTCTAATCAGTAAGCCTTTGTGAATGGTAGTAACAAGGAGCTTTGCACAAATGTTCCTGTGACCTATGAGGCGGCAGGTCTCATGCACCATGGAACGGAACCAAAACGTCGACAAAAGATGTGCAGGTTTCAACAGGGAGATCATCGTTTTCGTGTGCTATGTTGCACAACCTCAGTGGCAATTTCCACTATGAAAGGGAAAGTGACTCATACCAACTTTAAGGATTGAAAGACGAAACTCTACCACCACCAGCGTTGTCTGTAATAAGGCAACCCTTCACGTCATGAAATAAGTCATGAAGCGCAAGGCACATACCACTGACCTTGTGGGTAATTTAGTAAACACTCTTGACGTTTAGGGACTGAACAGCTGAGACAGTCATTTCGGCCAGGTCACTCGTTATACTCTTCAGCAGACTCTGTCATGAGACCAGTTAAATAAAGTGCTTCAGTATCGAGGGAAAACTCCAGCGAGAAAAAAAGTCGCAACTTACCACCGAGACTGAATCGGCCACCCATGGGTCCGGCTTGGTTCTCAGCGGCAGCAGCAGCGGCGGTAGAATTCGTCGGCATGCCGCCCTGTGATTGCGGCGGCATGAATTGGGGCTGGA